CCCTGTGTATCTCCCAGGTGGGGCTGCTGGTGCAGAATGGCCCCTGTGTGTCTCTTAGGTGGGGCTGCTGGTGCAGAATGGCCGCTGTGCATGCCTGTGCTTACTGTTACAGGAGTGAGCGCACGACTGATCAACAAGTTGGCTCAGTCTGAATTAATAAAATAGCCACGTCGCTCAGCCACTTTTATTCTTTAACTTTTTAAGGATCAACACTAAAACTAGACAACATTGGATGTATAAGCCTAAGGATGCCAAAGAAAGGGTTAATGATACGTAGGCATCTTGAGCAAAGTCCTTGTGGACCCCAGTGGGTTCAGACGAGACGTTCTCTCACAAATACACAAATACACTTGTTGTCGTGCGCCGCAGAGAGAGTGGTGGAACTGGAAGAGAGGAGGAAAACATGTTTTCTTGTTTCTTCCCAACCTCAAGGATGTTGACACATCCCCTTAATTAATAACAGCTGGCATGCTGCCAGCGCAGGCCCAGTGAGGCAAGGACAGCTCTGACGTTTGTGACTTATTGATGCACTTCTATCCTCTCTGTTTACAGATGCAAAAACCTATGAATTCACATCTACCGATCTCTCCATTGAAGTCAAAGGCTAAAGTCTGATGTTCCCTGTTCCAGTAATAAAAAAGCAAAGAACATTTATGTATTTTTACAAAACCAATCCAACGGCTGTTCCAGTACAAGAAAGTATCGAATCTGAAGTGGATTACTTTCAGTTATTACTGTGCATATAAATTAAATTATTTTGTGGTCCAACATAATAATCCAGGTTCGATATTTGACTGCTAAGTCTTTGACGAACACAAGGTCTACAACCAGAAATCCAGATGCTGTAATGTTTTTAGTGCTTGGAAATTGTAATGGAATGCATACTATGGATGATATACAAATGGATAAAATATTTTTATGAACAAGGAGTGTTCGGTTTTAATTTGGTTTTAGCATTTATAGATCACAATTAAATTGCATGGTTCTAAAGACCTAGAACAATTCACCCTTATCTTTTAAGAATTCGTAAAATAAATTAGAGATCTTTTGCAACGTGATATTTCCTGGTCATCAGAAATAATCCGTTTGATGACCTGCAAAACGTCCTGTATCTGGGCTCTCTGGGGGAGTATCAGCTGTGTTTCTTTGCCCTGCTCACTTCTACCTTCAGTAAAGCAGGAGGTGTGCGACTGCAGGCTGTGCCGTGTGGGAACACAGCCCAGCCCGGGCACCCAGTCCACAGGAGAGTCATTTTTAATATTAAAAATTAACCTCCCTTGTTAATTCCTAGCGTGCTGCCGCCAAGTGCCAAAACAGCCCTGTTGTGCTGGTGAGCCTGACGCGGTGGTGTTTGTGCAGCTGCTCCACACGTAGCAGCACGTGGCCAGCAGCTGGCTGGGGGGGCAGGGGGTGACAGGCCCTTTAGCTGAGGGGCAAAGTGTGCCCCATGCCAGGGACCAGGGTGTACCACAGAGTGAAAATGTGATAAGGCCTGGTGAAATCACAGCCTCCTGGGTTAATGTACTAAACCACAGCTAATCAGACACCAAGCAATATCCTGTTGCCTTCAGATAAACCACATATAATAAAATACTTCACTACACACAACAGACAGCATTTCAGGTCCCGTTTTAACTTGCTTTGTTTTTTTCAAGAACTTCAGATACAGAGGTTTAGGTATTGATGAATAGCACCGTGTTTTAAACAAACAAACAAACAAACAAACAAAAAATCAGTAAGACTTTAATTTCTCTGTTATAAAGTTTTATCCTGTAGGTTGTATGGGTTATCCAGGTTGGAATAAATACATTTTGACTCACTCAGTGAAAGATTTCATACAATATATTCATTGTGCACCACGTACAGTACCTATTATATCTATTATATTATCTATTATATATCTATTATATCTTCTATCAAATAAACTTTATTTCACAATAAACATCTCACGATAAGTACACACTCATGCAAAGTCTTGCAATTTCTACAATATTACATCTGTTCTAAAAGAAGGCGCTTGTCCTTTATCAATCAATCAGTGCAAGTGGAGGATGGGGCTGGATTTGCACAGTGAAAGAGTCCCTCCAAGCCCTATCACTTGCTGTTGTCCCTGCTGTTTCCCTGTCCCGGCTCTGAAACTGCGGTGTTCAAGTGTTCGTATACCGTATTGATTGTGTTAAAATTAAAGTTAATTTTGAACAACTTCAATCTTTGGTTTGTTTACATTGCTTGTTATTTATCATATAAAATAAACGTCCCCAATGTTTTCAGTAACTTTGTAATGAAAAACGCGGATTTGCACTGTAACTTAAACACAACTTTTTAAATCAGATCCGAGAGCGCCACCTAGTGATTTTTTTCCTGTCTTGATACACTAATTTAGACTCGGCCACGGCCGCTGGACGGTTTTTCAAATTCAAAGAGCTTTATTGGCAACAACCGATAAGTTACACAGAGTCTCCTTCACCAAGATGGCGCGGAGACTTGCGTGGTGTCACCCTAATTGTCTTCCGGTAGGAACTGACGTCCCGACTCCTTCAATAATCGAATCTAGGGGGTAAACAGTGGGCTGGGCTGCTTTAGTTCCTCGGGAGTGCAATGTGCTGTGAGCTGGCTTGAAGACGCGGAGATATGAACGCAGACAATTCGAGTCCGGACGTCTTGGTGCCTTTGAAAAATCTCCTTAACTCGGTGCAGTGCATCCGGGAGCGAGTGAGAGGTAGGGGAACCTTGTTTATTTGTTTCTCATACTGGGATATCGCCCAGAAGTAGTGTTGGCATGGAGATGTGTTGAGTACAGCAGGCCCGCTTGGTAATGGCACGATTGAACCTGAAGAAAGGCGCAAGCCGATTAATTTGCCAGCGGTTCATGAACGAAGAACTGCATCTTTGCCACGATCGTTTAGAGGAAGGTCCTTTGGGTTAATGCCATCGTCTCTTTTCTCGGTTTTCACTCGCACATGACGGAGTGTGTCTCGTCGGCAGAGGGCGGTCTGTTCATCACTGCATTGCGAAGGGAGATCTGGGCACAGAAAAAGTTCATGTAACTCAGATAATTGAGGCTCGCCTCGCCACCCTCAAATCGAGCAGCGTGTTTATCTGTAGCAAAAGCCTTTTGAGGGGGAGACGCCCGATGTTTTGTACACGTTTTAGTGAAACGTAGCGAATAGCTGGATCGTTACAGCTTACGATATTTAAACGACTAAGACTTATAAAATAATTCTAATGCTTTAAATGGCATCCACAAAATTCATTACACGTGAATTTCCATTAGGTTAATTTTTCTCTTACTTTCTTTTATGCCTTTTTATTTTATCCCGATTTAGCGGACTTAAAAAAAGCGTGTCACCTTTTAATACAGTGTAAAGGAACAGCCGACGTGATAGTCATTTGTCTGTGAAATAAGAAGTGGTCAGTTTATAATAATAGAAAGAAAAAATGATCGAGTGTTATCGTATTTTCTCCGATTTGCAGGCTGTACACATGATCGATCCAGGGCAAATTTGTAGAGCGAGATTAGGTTTACTCAAGTAGTATCCTTGGGGGTCCTGGAAACTTCTCGAGAGCTAAAAGTGAGGCACCCCAGTTTCCAAAAAGAGCCCTTCCTACAAATTGTCACACAAACTGTTTTCAAGCATGAAGTGGGGTAATGATGACAGGGTTTCCCCCTGACCACACTGTGCACCCTGTCAGTTGTGGCCCCTTGACCTGAAACCAGCCTGAAACTGTCAGTGTGAGTTGGGGGTGTAACCTGTTGGGCAGCTGGCCGAGACGGTCCCCAGCTGCTCTAAAGACGAACTGGTTTGTGCTGAATTTCCAGTTAGGGAAAGTTAGGGGAGAGCTGAGAAAGCAGGATTATTTAACACTCAGGTGGTTTCATGTAGCCTGGACCTCAAGGCTTGTCAGTTTGCACGCAGTGGGACTTTCTGCTGTGCTTAGTGGGGTTAATTAGTCAGTGCAGCCATTCGGCTAATTGACCCATCTCTCTGTCTGTTTCTAGATGGCGAGTCTAAGGAGTCGAATGAAGAGTTTAACCTTCAGCATTTCTGGGACACTTTAGGCTGAGTATTTTTTATGTTTTTCCTTTCCCTGTCCTGATTCCACAGGAAGGCTGTAGCAGAATGGGGGGCCCATTTTAGATTTTTTAACGCCAGATTTTTATCCCTGGGGCCGGTCGGTGTCTGTGACGCGGAGAGGGTTTGAGTTTTCGGTCTGCGTTCGCAGGTCGGGCTTTCAAGGCGGTGTCTCAGGAAGCCACGAAGCTGAGCCTTGCCTTCTCCAAGCCGCCCCTGCCCGGCGCCCAGGTAGGCCGCAGCCTGTTTCTCTCCGTTTCCAGCTCGGCCCGCGGGTGGCCTGCAGCTTGCAGCTCCTTTATCTCCGTGGCATCTGAAGGGTGTCTAGTGCGATTTCTGCGCATGAAGAGCGTAAAACAATTCGTAATCTGTCTAAAATATCGTGGATCTAGATTTTTACTCTCCTCACTGCCGAAGTTGGAGAAAAGCCGGCTGTTAATTGAACACAAACAAGCAGGTTTGATTCCAGTTACTAGGTGTCATGTTGGTGTTTGTGATGCATGTGAAGAACACTACATATACTTTCCTTCCTGCTTATTCTCATCCTTTGCTTTCCTGTCTGTCTTCCAAGGATTGCCAGATGCTGGCAGACTGCGTTCAGAAGAGCGCCCTGTCTCTGGCCACGGTCTACTACTGGCTTCCCAAGAGCCAAGGTACAGCCCTGTCGCCCTCAGTGCGGGCTGCGTGTGCGTCGCGCCCGCGCGGCCCTCGGTGTGACCCGGCGCTCTCTCCCCAGGGGTCACTCTGCGCCGGACCGTCCGCAATGCCGCCGCGGAGGCGCTGGAGGGCGTGGCACAGCTGGTCGAGATCATCCTGAGCTCCCCCCTGCAGAGGTCACCCCTCGCGCCGACGTTTCGGAATTCAGTTGTTTTTTTTTTAAACGGAAGTGGTGACGCGGACCTGACTCCCTGTCCCTCCCTGTTTCCCCCCCGCCTCTCCACAGCCTGTCCCAGGAGCAGCTGACCTCCACGGGCGGGGTGTGGTCATCGTGTGACCAAGTCGCACACCTGCCCAGAGGTGAGTCGCCCCACCTTGTCCCTCCTCTGCACTCCGCAGCTGGGCCAGCTCAGCAGTTAGCAGTTAATTGATGCGGGGGGCTCATCCAGCCAGGCAGGGTAACAGCGTGTCTGGGGAGCTCTTTCACAACCCCTCTACCCCCTGTTCTCACTTGAAACGTCCAGCTAGTTTCCAGTGACCTCTGGCTCGCGTTAACGCTGCTGATGCTAAAGACGTTCATTGGCTTGACTGGGGACGCATGGATCAGGAACCCTCTCAGTCTTCTCTGTCCGAGCCTTAAAAAGAGAAGCGGGTCAGGAGATGGTCAGGAGCCAGAAATGGGGACCAGTGTGTCAGGGAGCGCGTGCAGACGTCCAGTTCATTATTTGAAAAATATTTCTTTTACCGATGGACTTCGACTAAAGACTTTGATTTCAGCACCTGAACGGTTTGCTGTGTTGCAGGTATGCGAAGCGTCAGTGCTGCCTGTGAATCAGTTTGGGCCTGTGCTGTGGTGCTACAGTCTGCTGCATTCACATCCACACTGGGTGGGGGGGGGGAGGGGTGACTGTGTAAGAGGTGTTTTTTCTTTTTCTGCAGATGTTCCCAGCGTTTTGGGCACACCAGTGAGTTTTGTTCCATTTTCAATTTTCCGTGCAGACAACCAGGCAGCTGTCCTGTTGGTGATGTCCTCCTCCGCTGGTGTGGTCAAGGATGCCATAGAGGAAATGGAACAGGTGCTTGTCGAGATGGAGGGTTTGCACCGTTAGCTGACAGTGGCGCTGAGAGATTCTAACCCACATATTTTCCTGACACTCATGCTGTCACTGGGAAAGGGAGACGGCTAAACTAGTATTGTCAGTAGCTGTCTGGTATCCCCCTTGTCTTTCTCTCCGTTAACCTGAGAGATCTTCTCCCTTCTCCCTGCTCCAGGCCCAGGCGGACAATCTGGATCCATTCAGTGATGTTCTGGACGACGAAGAGCTGGACTCCCGGGGAAACCAGGACACATACTGGTCTGAAGAGGACAGGCAGCTGCTGGCCCCCTGCCAGGGCCTGATGAAGGCCTCCAAGGCGTGTCTGAAGAAGCTGTCTGCGGCAGTGAAGGCTCATGGGAAGGTGGACACGCCCGAGAACATCGCTCAGCTGGACGACCTTGCTGACGTGACCAAAGAGATCAGCCCCAGGTGAGCGAATTGAGCTCCCCGTCTGCTTTTGGCTTAACCAGTACGTTGATGCACTTCAGCTTTTTTTAGATTCCCAGATGTTTTATTCCATCTGTCTGAGTCGCGGCAAGTTAGAGTTCGCGACGTCATTTCCAGCTCCTGGGAAGTTGGGGGGTGTGTCGTCCCGCGAGGGCAGGGGAAGATCGGGCTGTGGCGTGGCTGGAAGGGTAGCGGACAGTGATCCCGGGTCTCTGTCTTGCAGTGTGGACGACCTGGCCCTCAGCCTGTATCCCCCCATGAGCTACAGCGGCGTGCGTCAGAACGTAAGGCTCCTCTCCTGCCGTCTCTCCATGACTGCGAGTCCACTGCTCGCGTGCTGCCTTAGCTGTAATACTGGTAACTGGTTCCCTTCCCGTTTGATGCAGAAAGAAAGTTTTCCAAAAGTAAATCTGTGCGGAATCTTTTGCCATCTTTGATATTTTGATGTCCCCTTGTCGGAAAATCGCTTGGCTGTGTGTCCTTGTTTGGTCACACAGAGGAATTGGTAGATTTCTGTGCTGTGTTTTGTCATTCCAGGCAACAAGCCTGGCCTCAGTCTTAAAGAAAGTCCTGGATATTGTGAGGTAGGTGTCTGGATATCAGCCTTCACCTGTCCCTCCCCTGCAGGTGATTAGTCTCTGTATACCTGTCCGTAGGTGGAGATGAGTCTAAAGTGCCAGCCATTTGCTCCGGGGCACTGACATCACTGGGCTCCCTAATCATGCATTTGGCACTTTAGGAATTTGCAGTTGGATTGAGAACTTGTCTTATTCAGATGGTGAATAAGGTAATACCTTGGTATTGGTACACGTTGATATACCTTGAACAAGGTAGTACCTTGCATCTAGAATGACAACACGTGTCCTAGAAGAAAAGAGCAAGTAAAATCCAAGTATTGTGTTATAGGTGTGATCAAGGAGGAAACGTGTCAAAAAGTGGTGTGTCGGGGAGTCATGCTTTTTTAAAATAAAGGAGCACTGTAAAAAAAAAATGCTGATGGCAAGACAAGAGTTTTGTCCGATCTCCAGTGCGAAAAATACCATGTCTTTACAGAACAGTGGTGATAAGAAAGTGTTGTTGTCTCAAAATCTAAATTTTATTTGCAGCACATGTTTTGAGACTGTTTCCTTTATGGTTCGAGACCATTTCAAAGATGATGTAGACTGTAAGTTTCAATTTATATCCCTGACGTTGTGCAACATTTAGCCATGTCGGGTTGTTTTATTGCTAAATGCTGACCGTAGATCAGTACTGCTCTGCCATCGATATTAAACATGTCCAATTTAGCAAATTAATAAGTCTTTAGCAAATAGGATCAGTGAAATCTGCTTGTCAATGAGTCTTTGCTCTGGAACCAGCGAGCTCATTTCCCATCTTCGTTAGTGGGCTGGGAACCCTCTTCACCTGTGCACTGCTGATGCACCCCTGCAGCTGAAGAGGGGTCCCAGTAAGGCGAGTTGGAGTTTTCCTGCAGGTGTGAAATTAGCTCAGCCGGGAGAGTAAATCAGGAGAATGTGCTCTTAGCAAGGCCGATCTCAGTGACTCCCCGAACGGGGCACCTCGTCGCCACGGCTGTTTCGTGTTGCTGCTGCCGGTGGACTCATCTCCTGTTTCTCTCTGCCCTCGCCGGTCAGGGCCAGCCACGTGTGCGGCGAGGAGCAGCTGGGCTGGGTCCAGTTCCTGAGCGGAGCCGTCGATCACAACATGCAGAAGGTCAGGGACCTGACGCAGGACTCGGCCTAGCGCAGAGAGGGCCGCGCCGCTCACCACTCGGAGCTGCCAGAGCAAGGCCTTTATCCAAGCGTGTGGAGAGACAATACTGCCATCCCTTCTGGACGTTTAAAGCTGTTGAATCTGCTGCAGTTTTACCTTATTATGGCTGTAGTAGTTGTAACATGAGTTCACTCAGCTTAGGGAATACTATGCTACATCGTCATAAATGTTCCCTATCGTGCAGCATGGATCACCCCTGGACATTTGTAGTGAAGCACAGTGAAGGCAAAACCATAGAACACTGTAGCCACTGCAAGGTGAAACCAAAGCACGCGTGTGGTGTGTAAAAATCATGATGCTAAACTTTCGAAAGGGATCTTATACCAGGCGCTTTGCATGTGATGATGATTGTGTTGCCCTGTCAAAGTGTGAAACAGAACAGAATGATGAATGCAGAGCCCAGCAAAGCTCGTCCAGGAGATACTTTTGCCCTCAGGACATAAAACCTTGAGGACGCCCTGCAGCCAGGAAGGCATGACTCGGACTGTGTTAGTGTGTTTGTGTGTCCATCCTTCACTTACCTGTCCTGACTGCTCACTCACCTTCACACATCTGTCATGTGCCAAGTTATTACAGCAGTGAGGGCAGCAGAGGCATGGAAAAGGAAAAGTTCATATACTGTGAAGGCTTTTGCTGCATAGCAGTGAGGATGGCGTTTCTGGGTAGTGCTTTGGACTTGGTTTGCTTTCCCATGTCTAAGCTGCTGCAGCCTTCAGTGACTCGGCCCTGCTGCTGGGTGCAGAGTACAGTGACTTCGCACTGTTATGGTGTGAAGATTACAGTGACTCAGCCCTGCTGCGGTGTGCAGATGTCTTTCTGAAAACACTTGGTTCAAGTGCTATCAGCACTTGCATATTGAAATGATTGCAGCTAGGCTTGGCCAGTTTCATGCTTCCCCCAGTTCCAAAGGTTTCCTCCAGTGTGTTTCATTTTTAAACTTGCAGCACGGGTGTTCCACATTAAGACGCAAAAATAAATTCAGAAAATGCAGAGGTTTGATTTAATAATCATCACTTTTCCTTAAAAAGGATATCGAATGTTGCTCAAGGTACAGCTGTCATCTATACACAACTAAAGGTGCTTTGTGCTGAAAATTCAATACATAAAAATAAATGGGCTTTTGTCAAATGTTAATTTAAGGAAAATTTAAAAGATGTTTTTTGTTAGAGTGACGTAAAGAGCAGTAGTTCAGTGTGGTGTGTTTTAGTAAGACCTGTTGTACACAGCTCCCTGTACCCTATAATGTACCTTCTGATTTCAGTCTCACTCTCTGTCTGGTTCCAGTCCTGTCTGGCTTGGGAAGGGATGGGATCGCTGGCTCAGTATATCGCATTGTTTCAGTTCAACTGGGTCAGATCTCCCACAGCCTCTCAGTGCGCTTCACACGTAATTAAAAGTGAAAGTCGTAGGTTAATGTGCTTGAGCCATAGTCAGTTACATAAAAGAGACGTTTTCAACAGTTTCAGAAGACTGCAGAATTTCATCGTTCCCCGTGTGAACTGGACAGCTTGACCACGCGACCCGCTCAGTGCTGGACATGGACAGTGGAGCAGCCCCTGACGTGCTGGAAGAGGCTGCAGTTGAAATCAGCCATCAGCACCCTCTGGCCAGCTTCAAAGGGCTCGAAGGGGATCTGGACCCTCAGCCTCCGATTCGGCCCGAGAGCAGGTACCCTGAAAATGCACAGGCACAGGTCAGCATCTGGTCTGGTTCGTCCGGTTCTCCTGAAGAGTGAACGTTGGAATTTAAAGCAGTCTTATAAATGACTAGTTCAGCCCCTGGCAAAATTGTTGACACTGGCGTTCAATATACTTTCCCTTTGCAGTAATTAACTTAAATTGACACTGCTTCAGGCCGTAGGTGTGTAACAAACTGCTAATGAGGGAGATGACGACGATGAGGTTTTCCAGAGAGTGTAAAAATAGACACTGATGGCAGGGTGATACTGTGAAGTTGGCTCAGTTCTCGCAGCCAGGTGGAAGATGGCTGTTCTGTTTAGGCCCAGAGGCGTTTAGTCTCATCAGTAATAATGACAGATGACTGGTGATCTAATTAGCACCGATTTGCAATAAATCTCACACTCTCTGACACCCATAAGATGCACATTGCAAATTCAAAATTATTAATATAGCCCTACACAGTTTTGGTTAAACACAATCTTGGGGCGGAGCAGTGGCTCTGTGGCTAAGGATCTACTCCTGTGGCTGGAAGGTTGCTGGTTCAAATCATGCGGCTGGTAGATGAATCCTACTCTGTTGGGCCCCGGAGCAAGGCCCTGAACCCCAAGTGCTCCAGGGGTGCCGTATAAATGGCTGACCCTGCGCTCTGACCCCAAGATTCTCTCCCTGTCTGTGTGTCTCATGGGGAGCAAGCTGGGGTATGTAAGAAGACAAATTCCTAATGCAAAAGATTGTATATGGCCACTAAAGCTAAAAGAGATCATTTTTCTTGACTTAAATTTAAATCTCCAGCCTTCAGGTTTGTAGATGTGCTTAAGTGGAGGCAGACTCCCTGGCAGTGTCCTACAGACTTGATGGCAAGGAGTGTGCGTCCACGATGGAGTGTGGACTTGGTGTCCTTCAGTCCCATCTTCAGAGAATTCCTGGATGTAGAATCTGGAAATCATGGGACATGCTTCCCGGAGTGCCCATTGCCCAGCAGTTACGGGACGGTAGATGGTTGCTCTTACCCGGTTTCTTGAGGGCATTTTAGAAGCCCGGGCCCAGTCAAGGTAACGGTACAGTCTTTGAGAGTTTCTGCAGTCATGTTCTCAACAACCAGCTCGGCAACCATTTCACCAAACAGGACTGGAGGACCTGTTGTCTGGAAGTACAAGCAAACAAACAAGAAGAAATAATCCAGTTTTTACTCTACTAGACACTGAACAGTTTACACAGGGGTGTAACCATCCTACAGTGGCTGAGGAAACGTCTGGTTTAAAAGTATAAACTTCCACCCAAACTCTTCCCAATCAGCTGATCATCATCAGCCTCTTCATCAACAGATGAAGACATCGAATCTGGAGGATCTTGCTGTTGGCTCAGTGGAATGTCACTACTATGTTTGAAAAAAGCGGGACTTTTTCTGAAGTCTGAGATTTAACATTTGCTTTTTTTTCTGTGGGCTGACTGAACAGGAGCTTAGATTTTTAGAAAAATGCCTTCACCGTTAGTTTATTATTTTTTTTTGATTACTTTAAATTCTCCTGGAACCGACGTCAAACTCTGTTCCTGGGGTGGCCTTCTGCTTTCCGGTTTTTGTTCCAACCAGAATAGTCAAACGATTAACTGATTTTTTTTTTACATGAGGCATATATAGAATTTTTCTTAATGTCTTTTGCAGTTCATTGCCAGACATTCACTATCACAGTTACCTATCAATCACACTGGAGCCATGGCAGACGTATAGCAATTATTAATGATACATTTTCGTATTTTCGGGGATGTAGGCCGATGAGGATGTGCGTGTTTGTGAAAGGCGTAGCAGGTTTGCCTTCAACGCTTTCACATGCCTCTCCTCTGAGCAGGTTATTGATTTGCAAGCCTGGAGCAGGAGTGTCTCTGTGGCCCTGGGCCTCAGTTCTAAGCACCAGAGGAACTTGGGGGGGGGGGGCCGAAAATGATCTGTTCAACTGATCCATGTGTGTTGCAGTACCAAATCACTTTTAGCTATTAGGCATCAGGACAGAGTTGGGCAGTAACATCAATCCCTTTCCGAAAGACGTTGAGTAGCCTGTCTTACTAGATGAAAAGACAGCCAGGCAGGGCTTTGACATACTTTCAGGCTGAGAGTGGGTCTGGACAGGAACATGTTCTTGGAAGTGAAGAACCCTCTGTTGTTCCAGGGCAGGTGGGTCAGGGCCTCCACCCTCATGATTTTGTTCTCCAGCACATGACCTTCGTACTTGGAGTAGGGGATCAGGATTGGAATCGTTATCTCTGAGAGAACAAAGGCAGAAATCAAGTCAACATCTCCCCTCCTGGCGTTTTGTTCCCACAGTTCCCACATGATCCTCTGGATCATGATCACGTTGGCATAACTCGATTAAGTGGGGCAAACATTTTACCTCCAGCTTAGGCAGCTATTTATGGGTCAGCTGTCTATTATTTCCCTGACAGTCTCACACAGACTTTGGGTGAAATGATTCCTTATTTGGAATAATGGATAAGGGCAGAGTGGTGGCTCTGTGGCTAAGGATCTGCACCTGTGGCTGGAAGGTTGCCGGCCCAAATCCTGAGACCGGCAGAGGATCCTACTCTGTTGGGCCCCTGAGCAAGGCCCTTCACCCCAACTGCTCCAGGGGTGCCGTATAAATGGCTGACCCTGTGGTCTGACCCCCAAGCTTCTCTCATTGTCTGTGTGTCTCATGGAGAGCAAGCTGGGGTATGTGAAAAGACAAATTCCTAATGCAAGAAATTGCATATGGGTGATAAAGTGATCTCTCTTATAAACCTGTTTGCTCCTAATTTGTGACTAATTTCTAAGGCACTAGGTGGGGTCTCCAGTTTATAGCTCTTTTCAAACTTATGGTGGTGCTGGCAAGTGTCCAACACTGCAGCCTGTTTCTCTCTGGATCGGAAGAAAGTCTCATGTAATTCTGCATTAACTGTGGGTGTGTTGATAACCTAACAGTGTTAACGGTTCAGAACCCTACACCATGTGATCACCTTTCTGTGGCTGCACCTCCACGTCCCTGTTCTCGCTCCAGAAGTCCTCCGCACAAACCCCATTGTAGCAGATGGAGTCGGCCTTTATGTTGACCGTCATCTTCCGGGTGACCGTGCTGTTGCTGTGCACGATCAGCCTGAGGCTGATGTCCTGCCCCCTGACGGGGG